GAAAGGCTTTGGTTACTTTGGGTCAACGAATGCAAGTAGGGTCAGTCACGTGGTCAAGGCTTGAACGAACAACGATCATTATTGGTGTTTACAGGATTTATGTTGGGTATAGTGTAGGTTTAAGGAAAGACTCAAGGGGAGATCAGTACTTACCTATGATAAAATATGTATGAAATCTATCAACCACCCCTCTTCAATCTATACCATTGCGAAGACGGGACCCAAATGAAAGTATCTAGACGACGGCAAGCCCAAAAAACCTCCTCAAGAAACGAACCGATCCAAAAAGGCCATCGAAGAAGAATCATATATTCCTATTGTAGAAAAGAAAAGTACGATGTTAGTAATTGTCCAAAAATAAGGATGATACAGCTGAAATGCATAGAATTATGGGATACACTTACCGAAGAACAAGCTGTGGAAGTTCGGGAAATGGTTGATAAAACCATAAGAGATCATAGTTTATATGACCCACAAGCCCTAGAATATTTTTGTGAAATATTAATGGATGTTAGCCGGGATAATAACTTGGAGGAGGACAACGACAAAGACGACGTTATATACTTACTCTCGTATATCCGATTGGCCCCACCTGTTGAAGAAAATTCATTGTCCGTTCCTCCAGCAGTTCCAACTCGGAAAGTTCCCTCAACACAACCCTTGACTAAGGACCCTATTGATGAGATAATCGACTTTTATCTTGCTCTGGAAGTAGAGGATGATAGCCCTAATGCCGAATTCCCCTAGAAAGCCTTATCGATGGATACTTGGAAGAACTCAAGCTTGAAAAACCTGAACCCGTCAACCATGGGTACTGTTATCAAAACAAAATTGGTATTGGAAAAGATGAAAATAATGGAATTGGAGTGAAAAAAGATGAATGAAAGACATTCGAATATCTTCAGAAAGCAGCCAACATAAAACTTGTTGAAGAAACCTTTGATATCAGCTATTGCTATAGAAATGGAATTGAAGTTGAAACGGCCGATCGTGAAACACTTAGGTGGTATTTGAACAGTGCTGAAAACGGCAATCCGAATAAACAACCTGGTTTTGGACCCTGTCGTGAAAAAGAAATCTGGGCTGAAAAGAATGATCATCAAAGGCCTGCCGATATGAAACTTGCGGAAAAAGGACCCTTCTTTGAACCCTCTGGAAGTGCAAAGGGTTATTGTTACCAAGATGGGATTGGAATTCAAAAGGACCAACATAAAGCCTTTGTTTATTATCAAAAATCCATGGATATAAGACCTACCTAAGGAACATGTAATGTTGGCTATTGTTATGAAAGAAGAATCGGTGCTGAAAAAGACGAACAACTGACCTTGGAATGGTGTCCAAAATCAGCTGAAGATAGACGATGAATTACGTTTGAAAACTTGGATCAAGCCTGTTTAGATTGGAACAGAAGGGTTAATAAATATAGAAGATCGATTCAAGATGACACAAAAACGATAGAAGACCCCTATCTGGTCAAGCCTGGCGACCGTTACGAGAATGAAGCATGTTTAGAACGAGCAGAAGATGGTAATACAACTGGACAATTCGACCCCGTTGGAGAAAATTCAGGTGAAAAAGAGGATGACTTGAACCAAGTCGAATTTGTACTACCACAAGGCTTGATGCTTGATGCTGCTTCCAGTAAAGTCGTGAAACGGTCCATGAAAAAAGGTGAAGAACGAAAGAAGGGCCCCGAAAAGTGTATGTTGTGAGAGGTTTTGCGTCAGAAATCTTGGCCTGCTAAAGACAAAAAGAACGTAAGAGTAGTGAAGTGGAACAAAAGCCAACCTACCGAGAAGAATCGAATTGTGCAAATAAATATCAGCAAAAATAAAGCTTTTCAATACTTACCAGCATGTGACCTATATAATTGGATATTTGACCCTAGAGGAAGACGCCGTAACTGACTCCTTGTCTTTGTTTTTGGTTGCATACGACAGTTGTACACGTGAGCTGGGGCGTATAGCAAGGGTTGGACCCTTCGTCTTAGACGTGGACGTTTGTCTTGAATATAGTGTTAGGATAATTAGTGAAAAAAAAAAAAAATTTTATATAAAAATGGGTATTACGTTAAATGCGATCATAGATGACATCACAATTTCGTTCTTAATTGATGTCAATCCAGTACCCTGCCCTTTCGACGACCCACGATCATTATGGAAGATCATGCGTGGTACGCATGATCTAAATAGGAGGGAAATGTGACGACGGATATTGTGATACCGAAGATCGTGACCGATCACGTGAAAAATGCACGAAATGCAATAAATGCAATAA